GGGATTGGAAGGACCTTTGGATTGGTTGCTGGTGGGGATTTAGAGGAGTAGAACGTCGCCGATTAGGGGACAGTAGTTGCGACTGCTCTCTGATTAGAGGTAAGGAACTAAGGATGGATAGCAGGATTACCAAAAATGTCCTTAATGTTAGCAGGTTGCTAACACTATGGGGTGTTAGCACCCTATCCGCTCTTTTAAAATTGATTGTGGTGGGTTAATAAATATTAATACGTCTTCCTTACAAAATTTTGTAATTTGGGGTCTTTATTTTATGAGAGAATTTTGGTTTAATTCAGCTAGCAAAGCCCTTACAATACTTGAATATATAACATAGCTACTCCCGTAGGTAGCCAAACAAACTAATTATTCGGATGCTCTTTGTTGGTGTTTCCCTGCCACGTTTCTTAGTTAATGTTCTGTTATATGGTGATGGACATGTAGTTATCTGGATAGTTAACGCCAGGGATTCGTCGCACACGATGAAAGGGGTTATCCTGCAAGAGATTCAATGTTACGATTATCATTTGAGCGTACTACGTTTCATTTATGCTACGATGGTATAATAGAGCTACTCATATTGTGGCAAACACAAGTCCTTTCATCGTTGGCTGGTACACTTGTCGACCAACATTTTTTCTTCTTATTTTCGTAATGCGATCTGACATGCAAAGATCTTATATGTTTTCGTATCTAACATGTTTCTCCATTAAGAATATCTAAGGAGAAATATGTAAGATCTAATTTCAAAAAATCACTATAAGTTTTATATCTATATTATTCTTTTCCAATAAAATAATGTTTCCTTCTCAAATCATCTACCATAATTCAGGTTTAGTTTCAGAATTAAGCAAAAGCTTCAGCTAAGCAGGTTTACATTTTTAGGATTCGTTTATCAGGAAACGGTGACTTTGTTTCCATCATGTTCTGTTTTATGTTGTCAAAATCACAAGAAACGAAAAGAATGTAACTTTGGGAGATATATTAATAATCATAAACAATATTCATAATATTTTTTTTGAATTTTAATAATTATCATTATCAAATTTCAATTGGCTAACGAGTCCAGACAAAATTAGGAGTCTAAAAGAGAATTAGCAATGATTTGTAAAATAAAGTTTAGCAAGATAAATTTTGTAGGAGTTAGCTTATTTTTGCATCATTGTATGCGTGCAATTTTGATTTTCGGATTCTTGTTTGACTCAATTAGAATGTTGAATTTTTTTAGATATATGTTCATTTCTTATATTTCAGTAATTTAAAAAGTGAATTTTATATGGTACCAATAAAAATGTATATTACTTAGTAGAATTGTTATTGTTTATATCATTAACGAAATGCATCCGACCAACGGACGGGCCAATCTAGTATTATAGTAGTTGTTATATTTATCTCCTATATGTAGCTCTAAATTGCAGCATTAGAGAAGTCATTATATGAGCACTTCTACTAAGCTATAAAGCATTGGTGCTTTAATGTACAACTTGAAGTTGTACCATAACGTTAAATGTATAAGTTCAGGTTGTACCATAAAGGAATTTGTACCATTATGTTATGATACAACTTTACAGCTTAAAGTTGTATCATCGCATAATGGTACAACTTCAAGTTGTACCATAAAAGAATTTGTACAAAAGTGAGAAGAGTATAGGTACAATCTGAAGTTGTACCACAACGTTAAAGGTACAACTTCAAATTGTACCATAAAGGTAAAAACCTATAACAACAATGCTATATAGCATTGTAAAATTTCTCGTCATTATATTAATCTTGTAGTTATTATAATCCCAGCAATAGTATAATTATATAATCTTGTAGTTATTATAATCCCAGAAATAGTATAATTGTCTGTAACGTAATGTTTTGCTACTCTCCTATCAAAGCTTAGTGGGCCGATGAATGAGTCAAGTCTAGGATCAATGAAATTGCATGTGTGTGTGTCGGTCAATGAATCTCAATTTTGAGAAAAAAAACCAGTGGGGTTCTTGGTGATCAGTGAAGTGGGTGTTTAGGTTTAATCAACGGAAGAAAATAATACTGTTGGCGGGATGCAAAGAGCCCGAAATTGCTCAACATGTCCCGTAACTTGGAGGGTACGTGTCCCGCGGTTAATATCCCCAGTATCGTAATGCAGCATTCAAGATAAGTCGTGTCTGTACCTCTTGGCAGGGGCGGATACATGCATGTTTAGGGGTGTCTCGGGACACCCCTAAAATTTGGAAACATGATTATTCAATCTCCGATAGTAGTTTGTATATGAGGAAAAAAAAATGTTTAAGTGGTAGTGGGACACCCTTACAATTTAGGAAAACGATTATCCAACCTCCCATAGTAGTTTGCGTATTAGTACAAATAATATTTTAGTAGTAGTTTATGTGATTTAAACTTGAACTTGAGACACTGCCACTATTAGTATACATATTTTCAATTACACTACAACTCATTTGTTATTGTGTTTTAGATACAAATATAATAGTAAAATGTTATTCTTATCCCAAATTATTTTTGAAACCTAACGATTAAACCCAATTACTGGATACTCTTTTCTAGTAGGATATGTCGAGAGATCTTTGTTGAGCAGTATAGATATCGAATGTATTTTACCATTTTACGAAACATGTCTGAACTTTTAATGTAACTTTTATTTGTCATATATTTTCATATTTAATAATTATTTAATTTAATTTTAATATTTAATTTAATTTTTGAAAGAGGACACCCCTATATAGAATTTCTGGATCCGCCACTGCCTCTTGGGCACCGGCCCGGTATGCACACGAGTTTGCACGACACGATTAGAGTCCGGTATAAGTACGGACATAAAATATATGGGTCAGCTCAGCACGAGCACAAATTGTTTATGAGTCGTGTCGTGTCTAAATTTCATGGGTACGAGCACGGACGCGGCACAATATGTAAATGGACAGTGTCGGATCTAATATTTTGAAACCTTATTGAGTATAAGAACGGATATAGCAAAAAAAAAATTGATAAAAAATATAAAAAGAATAATAGGTTCAAATATAAGTACAAAATTCTTATTGTTAGAAGTGATCTTAAAGATATATACGTAATTATTACCATAACAAAAAACGAACGAAGAATTAAACAAAATAACTTCACACTCGTTATGCTTTCAATTTTCTTTTCTCCTTTGTTGTTATATTTCTCAAACATTCTCGGTTAATACTTTCATTCTCCGTCCAATTTTCTCCTTTTTTTCATTCCCTCTTTTATTTCTTCATTTTCGCTAAACACAAATATGAGCACACCACGAACAGGCACTACACGATTCAAACCGTGCCCGACCCCAGGCCGAGCCTAGCAAAAGTAACAAATGGGCTTGTAAGGTACGACACGAAAACTGACTGGCCGTGCCAAACACGACGCGAAAAAAATGGGTATGAAATGTGCTCGTGTCTTGTCGGTCCAAGCACGGCCCAACGCCATGTACAATCGTGTCCCTTCAAAATTTCTAGTCAGGCCACATTTATTTGCATAGTGATACGCGAAATAAGGCTAGCCGGAGTTTCTCAGACAAGGTCCCGAATTCGATCCCAACGACAACGATGATTCTTGTAGTAGCATTTATCAATTGTAAGATAGCCTAGTGGTGTTGCCGTAGGGTAGATCGTCCCGAGATGTTTGAGGTACTAGGTTCGATATCTCGCGAAGCCCGTGTTGTGTTCTCTGAGGTATCTAGCCGCTGGGGGTGAAGCTTTGTTGACTCATAAAATTGCAGCAGGTGACCTCCGGGTTTGAACTCGCTCTGCCATCTAAAAGTTGTGGTGTGTGCATGGGGACGTTACTGGGTAATAAAAAAATTGCATAGCTATATGCGACATTGCAGATGGGTTTTGAGGACGATTTTCAGAGGCCGATACGAGCTCCCAAACAAGCCCAACTACAGAATGGACCTGCCAATTGTAAGATAGCCTAGCGGCGTCGCCGTAGGGTAGGTCGGCCTGAGATGTATGAGATATTGAGTTCGATGTCTCGCGAAGCCTGTGTTGTGTTCCTAGAGGCATCTAGCCATCGAGGACGAATCCCCGTTGGCGCATAAAATTGTAGATGGTGACCTCCAGGTTTGATCTGCCATCACAAAAATGTGGTGTGCGTGGTAATAAAAAAATAAATTGCATAGTGATATGCGGTATGGATGGCAAAAATATCCGTAACCATGGATATCCACCCGAATCCGACCTAATCGGGTAGGGTAAAACCCGAACCCGAAAGACTTTTAGCGGGTACTGGTAAAACCTGAACCCGAAAGACTTTTAGCGGGTATTGGTAAAACCCGAACCCGAATATTGCGGGTAATGGGTGGGCATGGTTTTCTCACTATCCAACCCGAACCCGCCTGATTACACATGCATATGTATTTTGTCTAAAAATAATCATTATTTTTCTGTAACGTACTTTATATTTAGCATATAAATATAATATTTTCATGAAATTGTATTGTTTTGATTGATTTTCTTCATTATAGTGAATTGTTGTCGTACCTTTTGCCTCACGTAACATGAGAATATGTGTGAATATTAACATATTGGTTGGAGTTATAAAGAGAATCTATTACCTATGGATAACCGTGGATACCCGAAAGTCGAACGAGTATGAGCACGGTTTGGATTTTCTACCCATTTCTTATGTGAGTATGAGTATGGATAAAACCCAAACTACTTTGGGTAGGGTAACGGATATGCACTATCCGTTCCCGACCCGACCTATTGCCATCCCTAATGCGGCTTTGCAAATGGGTTTCGCGGAGAATTTTCAGAGGATGCGGGCTCCCAGACCAGCCCAGCTAGAGAATGGACCGATTTCTTGGGCTCATATTCTAGGCCCGTCTAGTTAGCCCTCCATCAAATTTAACTTTCCCGCCTTTTCGTCTGAAATAGACAGGAAAGAATTTGTGACTGGGAGGGAAAATAAAAAATAAAATAAAAATGAAAAAGGCGTGTAGTCTGATAGTCTCCCTCCCACCGTCGGGCAGCTAATATCCCAATCGTCTCTCTGGAATAAAGATCGCAAGGGGCTGATTTCCGTATATTCGTGGGGATGTCGACGTGGCGAATCTTCTCCGACGCCGAAAATGATTTCCGGTGGGAGGTTTCCGGCGCGGTGGCGCAATCGAACTTACCGGTGGAGTCGAAGGTTTATCCGGTCTCACCCGTCAGCTCCAGTTTTCGCCTTCCCTCCATGGCTGACCTCTTGCTTGAAGGTTTTCTTTCACTTGGCTCTGCTCGTATTATGTCGATATCTCTGCGTTTCCATGGCTGATTCCTTCAATTTCTACAGGCTGTCCGAAGCTTCTCGAGAACGCCAAAGACGGCGGTGGGAGTGCTCCGATTTTTCGAACTGGATCGGGGAAATCCGTGGCACTGAAACAATCTTCAATCGCCAAAGCTTTGTCAGTTCTAAGCGATGGGGACGGCTTAGGCACAGGTGCAATTTTAATCTCGTTTCCCTTGTTTCTTCACGCGATGCAAAGAACCCTAACTTTCGGCCATTGCTCTAATTAGAATGAGGCCGAAGAGTAGTGCACAGACTTGTGATGTGACAACAGTTTTCATGCGTTTCAGTGATTAGCACTTTACTTTTGACAGTCATTTGCTTGTTACTCTATCGTGAAATGCTTTCTGAGAGACGGAGATTGCAGCTGGCTACGCAGGTGAAGCATACAATGGAGACGTTCCAAGCAATTTCTCCAACTCACTTTTCCAAACTGCATCTGGAAAATCAGTTGGCTTCACTTCTGCTGGACTTTCCAAAGCCAGGAGTTTGTTGGGAATGACAGAAGATGGAGGCAATGCTTCTAGTTTTGAAGGGTTCCAACGTCCACAAAGATCATCTTTTGCAAAAGTGCACACTGGTGGGCAGGGTTTTACTCATTTGGGGATGAGAGATGGTGCGAGCAAGGAAATGCCAGGTTCCAGTCCAGCCACACCTTATAAAACTGGTTTAGCAGGAAGCAGACTTTCGAACGAGTTTACCCCAGACTCATTGCTGTCCAAAGTGCATGATACAGCTGCTAAACCACCTCCAATCAAGTTCCAGACAGCCGGGGGGAGATCGTTATCCGTTTCAACTGATGCACTGCAACGTGCAAGAAGCCTTCTTGGGGACCCGGACTTGGGCAGTTTCTTCAATGTGGGGGATCCGGCCATTGCTGTTTCTGAAGAGAGAAGAACCAGTGACTCTTCGTTCAGCAAGGTCAAAGATGTGTATGCTGGATTTACTTATCCTGGTGCTGCAAGGAGTAAATATACTCAAAAGAATTTCTTACCCCCTCTTAAAGCATCTTCCAACCAGTTTCAAGGGCTGCTTAACTCGGAAAACGTCTCAATAGGGAGCAACTTGCTCAAGCAGTTTGATGCTGTTGGAAACGACTGTATAAATGGCAATGTGAACAAGGAGAACAGTCTTGCGAGTTATAAGACCTGTATGGATGATCATGCAAGACTCAACACCATAGGAAATGGGTCTGCTTTGAGACGTATTCAAGTAGCAAAGCCATGTCCGGGGCCGTTGGCTGACATCTCCAATACCGTGCACACAAATTGCGCAGACGGTAGACAAGTGGGCGGTGGAAAGAGGAGACTGAGGGGTGGAATATCTGTTTCCCCATTCAAGAGGCCAAGAAACTCCAAATTCATCACCCCTTTGAACAAGAATCATTGCCCCAGTGGTAAGCCAGAAGAATTGTTCTCTATGTTCATTTTGTTATGACATTCACACATGTATGTGCTTCTCCAGGTTTATCGGTGGTGTCATCTCAGATTCCTTGTAGCCGAAAAAGGGTCTCCACTAGGTATCCTGCTCAGACTTCAAGGATGCATATCAAAGAATACTTCGGGGTGGCCCTTCCTCACCACAGAGAGGTATATAGCACTCCATCATCACTTACATCATATGGTTGATTTTGGTTTTTCATCTGATCTACTACTATGTTTCTTGTGCAGTTGGAAGAGCAAGCAGCTTGTATCACATCCGACGCTGCATCTACCTATTCTTTCCCAGATCAACTGGGCACGAATTCCATTGGAGTAGAAGCCTGTCGCCGCATGCTTGTTCAGTCAGGAGCTTCTGAGCAATGTGCTTCCGAAGAGTAAGTGTCTCTTCATTCCGTCGCTTGAGACTTTCAACGTGGATGTCCCAAGTTTCAATAAATAAGCAATAAAAACTGCCGGTTTGAAGTTAAACCTGCAACGAGGGACTAGCGTTTCTCTGATGCATGGAATAGAAATTTGAATTCCTCATTGCTGATTCACGTTGTTGTACCCTTTCAAGGTGGGTTACGAATCACTACAAGTGGATAGTTTGGAAACTGGGATGCTACGACAGATATCGTCCGGTGAAGGCGGCTGCGAAATTTTTGACGATCACCAATGTCCTCGAAGAACTGAAATACAGGCAGGTGGATTTATCTTCGTCTACTTGATTGTCCTTTCATGCATCAGAGTCTAGTGACGTGATTTGTTTTCATAGATATGAAAGAGAAGTAAACCATGGACATCGATCTGCACTCAAGAGGATCTTGGAAGGCGATGTACCTCCTTCTTCGATGATGGTCTTGTGTATTTCGGCAGTTTGTGCTAATTCTGAAGCGGAGGCAGAGGATCGTCCACCGGAATCAAATAGCCCTCTAGGTGGTACTGCGGCAAAAGTACAGCTGACTGATGGATGGTAAGACTGGCTACGGTGTTCTACTTGCTATGTCCTTAGAATAACCGCATTGTTGGCTTACAGGTATGCAGTGGATGCTCTATTAGATATGCCGTTGTCAAAGCTTCTTTCAAGTGGGAATCTTTTTGTTGGACAGAAACTTAGGGTGAGATTTTGACTATAATGAATCGTCTTTATACATTGAACCTGAGAAAGTTCATCTTACTGGCTATCAACCTTGTTCCTTGTGAAGGTTTGGGGAGCAGGATTATCTGGATGGGCTGGCCCTGTTTCTCCACTTGAGGTTCATATTTTCTTAGTTTTTTCTCCAATTTGTCTAGTACCTGTTTCGCCACTTGAAGTTCAATTCTAAAGCGTTTCGTTTTCAGTGGAATTTATCAGATGTCTGCTTTATTTCAGGCATCAAACGCCGTCAGTTTGCTGTTGCATACCAATGGGACTTATAGAGCTCATTGGGCTGATCGACTTGGATTCTGTAAGCACCATTTGGATTGTGGTTTTTCTTTTGTCTCAAATCTCATGAAGCATAACAAGACTTGCTTCAATAGGTAAGAGAACCGGTGCTCCTTTGGCCTTCAGGTGTATCAAGAGCAATGGCGGCCCTGTTCCCCATACGTTAGTTGGAGTTAGACGCATCTACCCTGTTCTCTACAAGGAGAAGTAAGAAGTGATAGGGCTCTTTCACTACTTAATTCCTTCAACTAATGTTCTCTTTCCAATATGAGAAATGTTGATAATTTTTTGGTCTTCCTCTGTAGGTTTGGTGGAGGTGGATCTATCGTGAGGTCAGAGAGAATGGAGGCTAAGATGTTGCAGGTGTATAACGACAGGTGATTTCTATTTGTCTGAGCTTAAAAAGTCTTCACTGGACTTGGATACGAACAGATTACGGATTGCTAGTAGCTCACTATTGCATTTGTTGGTTGTTCTGGCTGCAGGAGGTCAGTTGTGGTGGAGGGTGTAGTTTTGGACATGCAAAGGGGAACCGAAAGCTCTCGACCGTACAACAACGACAGTGATAGTGAAGAAGGCGCAAAGCTTTTGAAAATACTGGAGACGTCAGCTGAACCAGAAGTTCTGATGGCAGGGATGAGCTCAGCGCAACTTGCTTCTTTCACTTCGTATCAGGCAAAACTACAGGTGCGCACCATCTTTGCTCAAAAGTTAAGTTTCGTAAGTTGAACTGGAGAACAATTAATCACCGCTGGTCTAATGTTAGGCAACCAAACAATTTAACATGGACAAAGCAATCGAGAAAGCTTTCCGGGATGCTGGGTTAGAGGAGAGAGACGTTACCCCCTTTATGAGGGTCAGGGTGGTCGGGTTGACAACTGGTGGTCAAGGAAATATCAGATCACAAGAAGGTTTGATAACAATATGGAATCCTACAGAGAAGCAGGTGAGAGTTCGAGTGTTTTGGTACTCTTGCCTTATTTGATCCTTAATTTCTGCTTAATGCGATCTTTATCATTATTACAACAGCAGCTTGAGCTGGTGGAAGGACAGGCGTATGATGTTGCAGGACTAGTGCCTGTGAACTGTGATTCAAATACCCTTTACTTACAAGCAAGAGGACCCGGAAACAAGTGGAAACCCCTGTCTCGTTCTCAGACACAATCTTTTGAGTGAGTCTCACTTTTCTTCAGTTACTAAAGCAAATCGAATAGTGGTTAACAAGTTATTCCCTTGCAGGCCCTTCTTCACTCCTCGGATGTCCATCACGTTATCAAACTTGGGTGAAGTTGCATTTGGCAGGTAATTCTGACAGCTTCAGCTATTTTGGCAAAAATCACCGTCTTCTGATTCTGTTGTTTGGCTGTTGCAGCGAATTCGATATGGCTGCAGTTGTTGTGCATGTGGGGGAGGTTTATAAAACTGGGGTGGCCTCGAAACAGTGGGTATTTGTGACTGATAACTCCATCTCCACGTTGAATCCAGAAGCTGCGAACTCCATACTAGCTTTAAGCTTTGGCTCCCCTCGGGAAGACAAGGATTCAGCTGCTCCTCCAGTCAACCACAATCTAGCAGGGTCAACAGTGAGTTCACTACTATTCTTTTCGCCGTTTATAGAGCTTCTTGCATTACTTAGCATCTTTTGTAATGCTGCAGGTTGGCTTCTGCAACATTATCAAGAGGAAGAAGGATCAAATGAATGAGCTATGGATAGCTGAAGCAACGGAGAATTCGACTTACTACCTTACCTTTGACTCCCGAAATTGCTCCCACCTCAAAAAGACTGCAGCGTCCGTTCAAAGCTGGGCCAAAGTTTCCCGCTCGGTATGGTTTAGGAGTTCCTACTGCCGGTGGTTGTAGCGTAAAATAAACCTACTGAAGATTGCTTATATCCATCATTTGGCTGATAATTAGCGTACTGCTTTCTGTTTTGTGTAGGTTATCAGCAGGCTGAAGGAAAAGGTTTTAAACATCGTTGATGCTTCTTGAAGCCAGAAATCTTAACAGGAGTTGCGAGTTCTATGACTCTACATTATATCAGTTTCTCATGCAAACGCGAGCATTCCGTTTTTAAGGGAAGCATCTGCACAAGCTCTTGAGTTAACAGGGAAAATCGTATTAACGCTTCGTTAGAAACTAATGTAGTTCAGCGTTTTACACATTCTGTAAATATTTAATGCCTCTAATCCCCCATGCTGGTAGGGAAATTTTGCTACGTTTACTAATCATGCTTAGTAAAACTCTAAACAGGTTCTTTGATGACAGTTCAATTATAGTAATTTTTCATTGGTGAAAGAAATAATTAGAGAAGTAAACAAGTGAATCTTTAGTTATTTAGCAAGGGCTACAAGAAGTGGAAGAGCAATTCATTCCAGACATCAGGCACACCAGGCAGGCACCAATGTATGCAGTCGGAGTAACTAGGAGGGTTAGCTAGCTGTTCTGGGGGTAGCGTCTCCCAAAACTTGCGGTATATCGAAGGGTGTCCGTCTTTTCGATACTCTGAAAGCTGCGTTACATTGATAACTGAAACCCTTGTTCCAAGCTTGCGCAGGACATTTTCAACCATTCTCATTGTGGGTAGATCGGAACCACTTCCCCAGTAACCTTCATTGTCAATGGGTGCTTTCTCATCGTAGCAGTTCCCCTCACTTCCAGCCTTCCACTCTCTGCTCCTGAATCACAAGGCCGAAACATTGTTTCTAGTTAGCATATCTAAGCTAGGTAATGAAGAGAGAACCACTCTAGACTATTGTAGTCAATTCTTGACTGAATTGATCCAGTATCTGCGCCCCAACAACCCGCTTTTACGCAGGGGGTTCTCATACTCACCAGAGATGTGTTGGAGACATTGTTACAAAAAAAATCTGTTTGTCAAGGTATTTGGATTTAGAAGCTAGACGGTCTGCCCAAGTCTGCATGACTAACTCCATAGCTCCTAATCCATCTAGTTCTTCACAAGACGCATTCTCTTGATCGCTCCATCTGCAAAGAGTTGGATACAAACAGTTAATAGCTAACTCATAATAACTGTGAAGTCATCTTCCCATCACCAATAAAAGTTGAACCCGGATCATTTCTTCACTCACAAGAGCTTCACAGGGCCTTGCCTCCACCACAAGTAAGTGTTGAACACAAGTATATCAGCATGCTCCCACTTCGCTGAATGCTTTAGAACCGAATCTGGTCGTATTATCCTCTCATCCAATCTGTGATTCACAGGGTCATCTGAGTTTGAATCGACCAGCAGTGGAGCCCACAGAAACTCTATGGTGGCATTGTAATTCTGAAGATGGCACAAACAAGAAGTTGCAGCTGACAAATCTCACCAAATGGATAATGTCATGGATTGTGAAACCATTTTAAAGATTGCGCCAGTTAAGCAGTCTAACGGTTCAAGCTATAAATAGAGCTATAATAACAAACTTGGGGTTTAACCAATTCAGCTGGTCAACCTATCACAAACAGCGGATAAGGGTCCTGGCACATGTCCTCTATTGCTTACCTCTGCCTTGAAAATGGTAAGCTGAGAATTGGGGGTGATGGATCTCTTCTCAGCTGGAATCACGGACTGTAACAAACAAATCATTGATATCCACTGCCCTCTGTTCAGTGAATCCCCAACAAACATCAGCCTCTTCCCTCTCAGTTTCTCCCACATTTCAATTGCATTCCATCTGTGCAGCACACAACCAAGTGCTCAAATTTAGAAAGTACTGAAAGAGGAACAGAAATGGAAAACTACCATTGGGATAGTTAACTTCATACCTCTTCAAATTGCAATTGTGAGGCTGCCACCTCCAATGCTGATACCCCAAATCAGACCTCCCATGCTTGTGACACGCCAATTGGTCAGACATGTAAGGGCAGTCTGATTCATTGTAGAGTGGATACGATTCATCATCAAAGACCCATTTCCCAGAGAACACATCACACCTCTCTAAACTCTCCCTCTTCCTCCTGCTGCCGCCAGATTCCGGTTCCAGGCCGACCCACCTGATTTTCTTCCCACTGTACTCCCCAGTAGTGTTGCACCTGCTGAACCTATCTAACTCTAATGGGGCAGAAAAACAACGGAGAAACTTCCCATTATTGAACTGGAAACCCAAAGTTACAGAAAGAAGTTAGTAAGACGAGCATACCTTGGACGGAATCGGAGGTGGGTTCGAGATTGGGGTTGATGTAAGTGAAAGTGCGCTCTGGGGGTGAATCTGATGGGTTCTTTTCGATTATGAGAATGGTTCTTTCACTGAAGAGGACGGAGCAAGCTATGAAGACGAGCAAGATGAACCCCAATAATGGGAAGTGGGATCGCTTTCTGTTCTTCCATCTCTGCATCATCGTCATCACAACGGGGAAGAGAAAGGTCAGGCGCAGCTGACGGATTGAATTCAAAGGGTTTCAACTTCTTCTTCCATGACCCCGACTCGTGAATTATTAATTCTGGAAATTTTATGCTTTACAGTAAGAAAAAGGGAAGAAAGACGGGCTAATAGTGGAGGACTGACAACAGAGCGGAGGCCGGAGAGTAAGTGCACATAATTTAAGGCGTACTAATTGTACAGCCGACAGAGATTTTGTTAACCAAATCAACCAATCTATTTCTTTTTAAAGTTTAATTACCCGAAACCCAAACATCGAGTGCGGAAGAAACGATGCTCTTTGGTTTATGAACCAAGTGATGAGGGTTGGTAAGTGCCTTCCGCATATTTTTTTTTATTGATATTAATGGATGCACCAATCACGGTTGAGTTCGTCAACAACAATTAATAACACTAGTTTTTTGGCCCGCACTTCGCTGCGGTAAGAAACTAATGATTTAGTTTAAATCAAATAATGTAAAAAATTATTTAGATAAGATAACATACGTCATCCGTTTGGCTTAATTGTTACGAATAACATACGTCATCCGTTTGGCTAAGTGATACATTGTAAATAACTATTTCTACATAAAGTTTACGTAGTGTTTAAATATTATAGAAAATTTATATATTATTTTTATTGATACATAAATGATTATTTGTCCATAAAATTTACTTAGTGTCTTAATCATTAAGTAAAACTCATGTAACAGTTATAGAACGTAATCAAACACTAAATATTATAGAACGTTATTACATAAAATTTTCATAATGTGTGATCTAATAGTATAAGTAAGTAACATCGACGAATTTCAGTTTATGTAACTTATATTGAATGTTGTTACATAAATATTTCATAATATGTGGTCTATTAATAATTGCTTATGAATTTTTGACTTATCGTTGAAGTAGTTGTAGTGAATAAAACTCATATGAATAATACTGCAGAAAAGGAGATTCATAATATTTTGTCTAATAATAATTGCTTATTAATTTTAGACTTATGGTAGAAGTGGTTGTAGGAAATAAAACTAATGTGAATAGTATTGAAGAAAAAGAGAAAAAAAAGGCTTATGATAAAATTGGGTATATAGAATAAAACCCCATTGTGAACAATACTCGTGGAGAAAAAATAACCTATTTTTTTTAATGAACATTGAAAGGTGCTTGTGCTTTTAATTATATAGTTTTTTGGCCCACGCTTCGCAGCGGTAATATAATAAATATTAGTTTTAATAAAATTTTATCCACTCATTAATAGTTCACAAATTAGTTCAAATAAAGCATGTTCATAAGCTTTTTACATAGTGTCTTAATTATACAGAAGATTTATGTAACATGTTTGTTTGATTGATACATAAAAATTAACTATCCCTTTGATCTTCATAAGTTTTACAAAGTGTATTTTAAAGACGGTTACACAATGGTATTACGTAATCTTCCATAAAGTGTAGTCAAATAATAAAATAAAATTACATATCTTATATTTGATTAAACTATTATGTAGATTAACTTATCCTACAGTCCAGAAGCCTCAATTTGTCAAATGTAAATTGATAATATGTTGAATATAGTAGGTAATAATAAAGGAATTTTAGTTAATAATAAGTGAATGAAGTAATAAAAAATGACACATTTGATTAATTTGTTAAGTAAGAAATAATTGACCTTACTAAGCTATTATGTAATGCAAATTGATGCGAACGTCAACAATTTAGTCAATAAATTAGGATTTTTCATTCAAACTTATATAACGAAAAACTTATGTGACATGTTTATTTAATTGATACATAAGAAATTACATAAGCAATTAAGGATAGGAAAAAAAAAGAGTTTTGTAAAATTTGATGTAGAGTATAAAAGATCCGTAAACAGTACCCACTACAAAAAATACTCTATTTTTTAATAAAGAAGAACAATTTTAACTTGTGTTTTATATACAATTATGAATCGGACTTGTGTACTCTTGGAGTATATTATACTGTAGGTAATCATAGTGAGATATCTATATCTAGATTGTGATTTAAATTGAGGTTAGAGTATGCTACTATATCCTAACCTCTAAGGAATAAACCCTTGGGTGTCGATTTTTTAATCCCAAATCCGAAGTTCAATTTAATAGAAAACAATAAATGACCGCTGAAATTGATCGAAACTCATCAAAGTATATCTAACAATTATATTACCTCAAATATACTACACTCTAGTATACCACTCTTTACTATATAATAATAATATATAATATTTACCGAATCAGAAAACAACTTCCATATCAATTGTCAGTAGCAAGAAATTGGCGGTCAGGGTGAAATTGAAGCCTCTATTTCTTCGGCTGGTGGGCGGATGGATTTTAGCATACTAATTACTTGATTTGCCGCAAAAAGGACTACGGGAGATACCATGGACCTCCCACAGGGGAAAATTCACCAAGATGAACACTGATCCGTAAAAGCCATAAAGGTATATTGAGCAAGTGATTAGTGTTTTTTCACGTTCAGCAAGTGATTAGCGATTTTTTCGTATGGAACAGTGCTTTTATTTTTTTGGTTACTTGCCGTTTAATATTTCTAATGGTTCAACTTATTCAAATAAAGTTAGAACGAGAATGTTTGATGTTTTAAATGACTTGTGGAACAAATTAATTAAGTTACCGCCTCGTCTAAGTGTTGTCGCCTCGTCGTGACTAGATGAGGTTGAAGCCTCATCGTTTTACCTCCATGATGGAGTTTCAATAACACCATTGACACACCACCCTCATCTCGTTACTTAGACCACCTTGTTGGCTTGCTAGCCATCTCGATGAATCCGTCTTGTTAGCTAGGCCTTGTTATTCATTGACGAGAGGAGAAATTAACCTTTTCCATGTCTAAGTACAAATCTCTTTACCCATTAGGACCACATACTTAGTCTTGGAGAG